GCCGCGAAAGAGTGGGAGAGTTTGGTCCCAGCATAAACCAGTTCCTCCATTTTCTGTGAGAAGCTTAGAAATGGAGATGCTGGAGAGAGGGATAATGTGTCTGGTGAGCAGGGCTGTGGCTCTGGTGTTTCCAGTGGCTGAAATATGTTGTCCTGGCTTCCCTGGCTGTTTTCCAGAAAGTCATCCTTCGGTGCTGAATCTTGGAGCTGTTCTGATACGTCACAGTCTGTCTGTCATGAGCTCTGTGGGCAGGGCTCAGCCGGGATGTTGTCCATGAGCAGTGCTTGTCGTGGCTGCCTGGCGTTATCAGTGTCCTTGTGGGATGTGTCAACCACATGACGACTCGGACCAGGTGTGTGTGTGCTATTCAGGCTGAGTGGATTGACACACTCTGCTGAAGGATGATGGAGGGGGAAGTAGATATTGTCCTTTAGCACTCTTGCACCAAGTTTGTTTGGGTGGAGGCCATCCAGTTTAATCAAGTTGTCTATGTCCCCAGAAAAGATTGAAGTTGTCGAAATTGACTCCTTTTAAACTGCAGATTCTTTGTAGCCATGTGTTCAGCCCAAGCAAACGTGAAAACATATTAGTTCTTCTTGCTGGGAGTGGCCCACTGATGAACGACTGAACTTTAAGTCTTCAAAGTGTTTCAAATAGTTCACTGAAGTCCTTCTTATGGAGTTCTGACTACTCTTTCCGAACATCATTTTTCCCCACATGGATAATGATTCGATTTGCAGTCTTGTGCTTCATCAGAATTTTCCAACGTTCCTTGTTTACATCAGAAACTGTTGCTTGAGGAAAGCAGCATGTTGTTGTAGTCCTGCTACTGATGTTTCTGATAATTGAGTCACCCACTATCAGAGTCCTGGGCTCGGCTGCGCTCTGAGCTGAAAGCCGCTGTCTGCTCGACCTTGAGCGCCTGTTAGTAATCCATGTTTAATCACATTTGGGGATTCCTCACCCACATTCATTAATGCTTCAAATCTGTTCTCAAGATGTATAGGGGGTGGTAAAATACCAGTATTCACAAGCCTTGTCATTGCCGAATCTGGGGTAGAGGATGCTACAGCAGCAATACGAGAAACCCGTGACAATCTGATGTCTCGTGTACCTTTAGGTCTCGCTCCCTGTTTGTGCCATCGACTCAACCGTTTATACCAAGTGTAGAGGAACAAGCCGAAACTGATTGTCACACTAGATTCACTAGGTTCATGGGACTCACCGGCTGTATGCTGAGGGGGTCCGTGACGACGGTCTGCTGAGTGTTCTGCCTGTTTTAGAAGTCTAGCAAGTAACTTTGTTTCAAGAACCGCAATCCTTTGTAGATGTTTGCAGCAGTTCATGCAGCAAGTAGATTCAACAGGAGGCATTTTCTTTCTCTGTTTGTTTGTGCCAAAAATGTGTTGTTTGAGCACTGTGCTGATCTGCTGCAGTAAAAATCTTAGAAAAATCAGAGAAAAGTACACAAATAGGGAGCAAAGTGCAGAGCAGTAAGCAAGAACGTCCGAACGGTAGCGAAGCCGGAAGTAGACCAAGAAGATGCATAGAGACAAGATGAATGTAGAGCTGCTGGTCTCATTGGTGTCTGAACACAAAGGGCTTTATGACAAATGCGACAGCGACTACAAACATCTCAATAAGAGGGAGTTGTTATGGAGAGGAATTGCAGATCAAATAGGATTCGATGTGTACCGGGGTATTTCTGTTTTTCATTAAGCGCCATCTAATGTCAGGGAGTGAATTTGTACGTTCACTCGGCTCATCGCCAGTGAAAATCGCTTGGGTATGAACACAAAAGACGCGTCAAAAAACATTGGCGATAAGCGCGATAATCATCCCGGTGTGTACGAGGCTCAATAAATTCCCAAAACTGTTTTTTTCGTGTCTCAGGAGGATATTTTTACACATGCTCTAGTGTAGATATTTACCTGTAGTTGTTGATGACGATGGGTGTCATCAGATTTCTGTGTTTATGCTTTCATTTTTCATTCTTACTGTTATTTAGAAAGACGGACAACAGAAATACATAGAATGTGTGAATTACCTCTTATGTGAGTGCAGTCTTACTGAATGAGTATTTTAAACTGATGTGCTCTACACTCTTACGTTTGTGTCGACAATCTTTTAATTAATATCTCTGTCTTATCCGAATTTAATAGGAGAAAATTATTGGTCATCCAATCTTTTACATTTTTAACACACTCTGTTAGCTTAGATAATTTAGAAGTTTCATCTGGTCTTGTTGAGATATATAGTTGAGTATGATCAGCATAACAATGGAAACTAATCCCGTATTTTCTAATAATATTATGTAGCGGTGGTGGGCGCTAAGAAAATTTATATCAGATTAAGGAGAGAATATTAACTATTTAAAAAACTAATTTAACAATCGGATCTGATTAGTTCGGGCGCCAGACAAGCTCAGTCTTGTCAAATATAACCGTTTTACCCAGAATAGCTTTTTTAAGCCACCGGTTACAAAAATAATTTGAATGAAATGTCCAGACAAAATAAGTTCAGGTTCATAGTTTCAAAGTTGAATTTAACAGTTAATAAATAAACAAACAAACAGAGAAAAACTTTGCATTCTGTTTCAAGTTTAAATGCACAAATGCAAGATATTTTCAACAATCAATATAGAATCAAACAGAAAACTCAACAGATTCAACACTCCTTGAGATACAATGTGTAGAAGGTAGTAACAAGAGACAAAAGAAACATGGAAGAAAACATTAAATATAGAATTCTTAGATCACATTAAACATCATTAAACTCTTGATTATATTTGTAGATAATACAAATACCAAACAGCAAGGATTACTAATGTTAAGTGTTTCGTGAAAGTGCGCACGTTAATGTTTGTGGATGTTTGCGATGTTTGTGTGTGACAAAAAAGAGCGTGTGTGTTTTTGAGATACGAGTGGATTCCTGGCCGCTAATTGCAGGGGGAAGTTTTTTTAACATGAGGTTTAAGAGATGAACAACAGCAATTCACCTTGAGATCCCGCTCGCACTTGTCAGCATAAGAGACTTGCTTCGCTCTGCAGCTGGTGTCCGGAGGTGCAGCACGCACACTCAAATGATCGCCCAGCAACTCACGCTCATAGCGATCCACCCTGCCCAAACACAGCGAGGTCTCCACAATGCAGCGACAGCGTCTGACTCAATTCAGGTGATCTGCATCTAATTACTGCTGCGCTCTCCTGCAGCTCCACCTTAAATACACATTTCCTCACTTCCGGATAACTGATTTCCCTCCTCTGCTCGGCCATAACACATTAAAAATCCTCGTATGTTTTTTCATACTGTCACAATTACCAAGGGGCAACGTATATATTGAAAATAGCAGAGGATCTAGGACAGATCCTTGTGGCACTCCATACTGGATTTAATTGAGATGACTCCCCATTTAAGTAAACAAAGTGCTAGCGATTGAACATGTAGGATCTAAAACATCTTAAAGCCTGCCCTTGAATACCTGTATAGTTTTGTAATCGATCTATGAGTATGTCACGATCTATGGTGTCGAACGTTGCACTAAGATCAAGTAAAGCTAGCAATGAGATGCAGCTTTGGTCTGACGCAAGAAGCAAGTCATTTGTAATTTTAACAAGTGCAGTTTCTGTGCTATGGTGGTATCGTTTTTTTGCATGAAGGAGCACAATTGAGCAGACACAACTTTTTCTAAAATTTTAGACATAAAAGGAAGATTTGAGATGGGTCTGTAATTAGCCAGTTCACTAGGATCTAGTTGTGGTTTCTTAATAAGAGGCTTAATGACCGCCAGCTTGAATGGTTTTGGGACGTGACCTAAAGACAACGACGAGTTAATAATATTGAGAAGCGGTTCTTCTGCTACAGGTAACAACTCTTTCAGTAATTTAGTGGGTACAGGATCTAACAGGCATGTTGTTGGTTTAGATGCAGTGATAAGTTTATTTAGCTCTTCCTGTCCTATAGCTGTAAAGCACTGCAGTTTATCTTTTGGTGCGATGAATGAAGCTAAAGTATTATACGCTGTAGAATCTACATTTGTTATTGGATTTCTGATGCCGCCGCCACTACTGTTATAAGCACGAGCCCCGTCAGACTGGTCGTTTGGTGGAGTAGACTCATTTAGACCAATATAATCATTACATTTTAGCCAGGTTTCAGTCAAGCAGAGTGCATCAAAACGATTATCTGTGATCATTTCATTTACAATAACTGCTTTGGGTGAGAGTGATCTAATGTTTAGGAGCCCAAACTTTAAAAATTGTTTTTGTTCATTTATTTTAAATTTTTTCTGGTTTAATCACGATCAGATTTTTTTCTAGATCCAGCATTACATTTATATTTTGACCTCACTATTTGGGGAACAGACAGTCTTTATAGATTGTACAGCGCAAGTACTTCTATCATTTAAGTGGGTAGATATATACTATATAATGTTGCAACACCGACCAAAATCACCAATCACAACCAGAACATCTAGCAACTAATTAAGTTAATTTACACTAGGTCTGTAACATGATTAGCTATAAAAGGGATTTCTTCGAGAGGCAGAGTCTCTCAGAAGTAAAGATGGGCAGAGGCTCTCCAATCTGTAAAAGTGTGCGTAAAAAGATTGTGGAATACTTTGCAATTTGACGTTGAGGAACGTTGTTTTTAAAGGCTTTGCAAATCTAATCATCTACCGTGCTTGACATCATCAAAATGTTCAGAGAAACTGGAGAAATCTCTGTGCGTAAGGGACAAGGGCGAAGACCTTTGTTGGGTGTCCGTGGTCTTCGGGCCCTCAGACGATTCCATCACTCGGCGATCAATCACTCACTCACTTGTTTATGAGTTACTGACAAATGTACTGTTTTTGCTTTTATTTCAGAGTTGATTGAAGAAAATGAGAATGAAGAATTGAGTGAAGTTGAGGGACAAAATCACTTCAAAACTGGAGAAAACACTTTGAGTTGCTGTCAAAGCATAATTTTAAGGAAAACAAGAGCCAATAAATCTTTCACCTGCACTCAGTGTGGAAAGAGTTTGACAAACAGATATAGTCTTGATGTTCACACGAGAGTTCATACTGGAGAGAAACCTTACAAGTGTTCACACAGTGACAAGAGATTCAGTCAGTCAACAAATCTGAAAAAACATGAGAGGATCCAAACTGGAGAGAAACCGCACAAATGTTATCAGTGCGGGAAGAGTTTTGCACAAAAAGGAGACTTTAAGGGGCATATGAGAGTTCATTCTGGAGAGAAACCATTCACTTGTGATCAGTGCGGGAAGAGTTTCTCACGATCATCAAGCCTTAAGGATCACATGAACATCCACACTGGAGAGAAACTGCACACATGTGATCAATGCGGGAAAATATTTTTGAGAGCTTCAGACCTGAAGCAGCACCTGAGAGTTCATACAAAGGAGAAACCACATTCATGTCATTTGTGTGGAAAGAGTTTTTCACGTCTACAAAGTTTGAAAATACATCAGAAAATACATACTGGTGTGAGAGATTACATGTGCTTTGAGTGTGAGAAGACTTTTACTTCAGCAAGCTGTTTAAAACAACACCAGAGGATCCACACTGGAGAGAAACCGTACACATGTGATCAGTGCGGGAAGAGTTTCACAATAAAAGGAAACCTTTTGGAGCATATGAGAGTTCATACTGGAGAGAAGCCGTTCACTTGTGATCAGTGCGGGAAGAGTTTTGCACGATTAGCAAGCCTTAAGTTACACAAGAACATCCACACTAGAGGGAAAACGTACACACGTGATCAATGCGGGAAAACATTTTTGAGTGCTTCAGTCCAGAAAACACACCTGAGAGTTCATACAAAGGAGAAACCACATTCATGTCATTTGTGTGGAAAAAGTTGTTCACGTCTACAAAGTTTGAAAGAACATCAGAAAACACATACTGGTGTGAGAGAGTACATGTGCTTTGAGTGTGAGAAGACTTTTACTACAGCAAGCTGTTTAAAACAGCACGAGAGGATTCACACTGGAGAGAAACCTTACAAGTGTTCACACTGTGACAAGAGATTCAGTGATTCAGCAATCCTGAAAAGACACGAGAGGAATCACACTAGAGAAAAACCTTACAAGTGTTCACACTGCAATAAGAGATTCAGTCAGCCTGGAATCCTGAAAACACATGAGAGGATCCACACTGGAGAGAAACCTTACAAGTGTTCACACTGTGACAAGAGATTCAGTGATTCAGGAATCCTGAAAAGACACGAGAGGATTCACACTAGAGAAAAACCATACAAGTGTTCACACTGCAACAAGAGATTCAGTCAGTCAGGAGACCTGAAAAGACATAAGATGATTCACACTGGAGAGAAACCTTACAAGTGTTCACACTGCAGCAAAAGATTCAGTCAGTCTTGAATAAAGTTAATCTTCATCTTCAAAACCAGCAGATTCAACTGTGAGATTCACATCAGCTCAAAGATGAACAATGTCAAAAAAATGTATTCTTGTTTTTCATTTTGCTTCATGATATAAATTATATCATTGTGCTTCCTTATGAGTTTCATGTTGTTCAATTGTCTTATAATGCATATATTTACATTTACATTTAAATTTAGTCATTTAGCAGACGCTTTTATCCAAAGCAACTTACAAATGAAGACAATAAAAGCAGTCAAAACTAACAAAAGAGCAACAATATATAAGTGCAAATGACAAGTCTCGGTTAGCCTAACACAGTACACGTAGCAAGGTGTGTGTATGTATATATACACTGTAAAAAATAAGTGTAATTTTAACTGTAAAATTTTGTAAAATCGTTACGGAAAAAAACTGTTAATAGGTTAACAGTAAGTTCCCGTACTATATACAGGGTAAAACTGTAAAATATCTAACCAGACATTTCATGTAATTTTACAGTAAAATGCTGTTAATTTTACATTTTTTAGAAGTAAAAATAACGAATCCGCCGTTCACTTGCAGAATGCAAGCTTCTAGAGGCACATAACTCTGAAGTAATGAATTTAGGTAAATGGGTGCAGAGCCAGTGTTGGTTTTGTAGGCAAACATTAATGCCTTGAATTTAATGCGAGCAGCTACTGGTAGCCAGTGCAAATTGATGAACAGAGGTGCGACGTGTTTTTTTCCCGGCTCATTAAAGATTAATCTTGCATTTGGATTAATTGTAGAGGTTTGATAGAAGTGGCTGGAAGACCTGCCAAGAGAGCATTGCAATAGTCCAGCCTGGACAGAACAAGAGCTTGAACAAGGAGTTGTGTTGCATGTTCTGAAAGA